CCGCTTTAAATCTCTAAATTCTCCAATCCATCTTCCACATAGCAAATAAATGGATATTATTAAAGCACCATATCTGACCATGTCACTTCCTTGTTCTAAAAGCTTTAATGGTTCCTAATCCCACATGCCTGGAGTGCTCTCCTTCTTGGAACACTTAGCTTCCTAAAAGGCTAAGTTCCAGGGCCAATTCCTTCAAGAGGCCTTTCCTGATTTCCCCAGTTGTTAGCACCACAACACCACAAATCACATGTGTCTCCTGTATATTTATCTGTAATAAATATAATGTGCTCCCCTGGTAGAATGGAAATTCCTTGAGAGTAGGGTGAGCTCACTTTCCTATCTGTGTCCTCAGCACCTAGAATAGGACCTGGCACATAGCAGGAACTTAATCAATGCTTATAGATCCATGATGAAACAAGATTACTCAGAACTAAGGAAACAGATCTGAAAAGAAATTCTAAAATTATGAATTGTTCTGGCTTTTTTTCAGCTCTAAGCCTTCTTGAGCCCTTTGCATGCATCAGTGTTCACCATTCTCTTTACCATGCTCAGGTCTCCCTGGATTTTAAAGAAGCATCACCATTTTTCCTGATCACCATCCTGATCACCAGTCCCTTATGTATAAGTATACCTCAGGAACTGTCTTACGCCCTTCTCTACCCTTTCTACACATTCTCTTTCAGTTTTTTCCCTTAAACAATTTATTAAAAAGCCAATGTTGAACATTAATACAAACGTACAAATAATTGCACTTGCTTAGTAACTATTTACATACAGATTAATCCGATTCAATGCATAATACCATTCCAAGTTCCTATTAGAACTCTTTGTCTGTTTGTTCTTGGTCATTTTTTTTTCAATTTTGCTTTTCCTAGTTTGTTCTTGGTCATTTTTTTTTCAATTTTGCTTTTCCTAATATATACACTCCCATCCCTCTAATTCTGCTTTTTCCACCTTGCATTATTTCATAGAAATCATTCCAGATTTCTTTTTATTCTTCATAATGTCTTACTTGCATTAATGATTCCATGCCATTAATGTATAATTATTTAACCATTCTTCTATTGGGTATTTCAGTTGCTTCCAGTTTTTTTGTAAATATATACAAGCTACTTGAATGGGATACTTTTTTTGTTTTTTAAAACACTTTAGAGCATAGCTCAACAGTGGATTTACCGGGTCAAAGGGCATGATTATTTTTGTAACTTTTACTATATACCGTCAGATCACTCTCCAAAAAAGATTCTACAAGTTTGCAATTTCACCAACAAAAAAAGTACCTGTTTTTCAAAACTACACCAGGGCTGAGTTTTGCAGCTTCTAACTACTTTTGCCAATTCATTATTATAATTCCGTTATTTCCTACAGAGTTTTGCAGAGTTCTCCTCATAAAAAGGATTAAGCAACATCTCCTACTAGACATCTCTATGTATCCCACAGATACCTCAAATTCAATGTGCCCTAAAGGTAACTTCTATCTTTCCACTCAAATCCCTCTTCCTAAATCCCTATTTCTGTGGCAAACCTTACTGTCCTTCTAGTCCTCCAGTTCTAAACCTCATGGTCATTCTCTACTCTTCCTTTCATCTTACCTCTCATATTCAATCAGTTACCAAATCTGGTCAATTCTGATTTCACATTTCTCACTATTTTCCCTACCTCCCTAGTTCAGTCCTTTATTACCTCTTGCCTACACTATGACAAAAGCCTAACTGGTCTCCTTGAATCTAGCCCCACTTCAAACCATCCTGAATAAACAATCCTAAAGCTAGGTCTGACCACGCCATTTCCCTACTAAAGAAGTTTTGGTGGATCCCTATTTTCTCTAGGACAAAATATAAACTCTTAGGCATTTAAAACCCTTTACAATCTAGCTCCAGCCTATCTTTCTAGACTGATTTCAAGTTATTCCCTCTCACACCCTCTATGTTCCAGCCAATTTGCTGTTTCCCAAATTCAACATTCCATCTCCTAACTTGGTATCTCTGCACAAGCTACTCCTCATGTTTGGAATGCTCTCTCTCCTGTCTACCTCTTGTAATCTCTAGTGTCCTTCAAGGCCCAACTCAGGCAACATTTCCTACATGAGACTTAATTCTGCTCTCTGGTCAGCTATCATGTGCCCTCATCCCTGCCAAGTCTTTTCCTTCAACTAATTACCATACAGCATGATCTTAAAGCTCATCCCTGTCTTGGTTACTCTCCTTTAGACAGCCTCCAACTTATCTCTGAACATGTTGTTTCCTCCAGATGAATGTAATCTCATAGAGGGAAAGGGATATTCAATATTATCAGTGCTTTGCACACAGCAAGTAATTAATAAAAAGTTGGACTCCTGATTTCTGATGTCCTTTCCAACTTTAAAATTTTGTGAAATTAGAAACTATAATTACTTTAAAAAGGATGGGACTATGCCTGAAACAACAGGCAAAGTTCAAAGTGACTTTAAAAAAACTGCTAGAAAAGAAATGCCCAGTAAAAACTTTCTTTTCACCTTAAATTTCAAAGTCCTACATGATTTTTCTTGGGCAAATTAGTCCACAGCTCTTTCTGATTAACACATGAACTGAACTTTCTCCTACCTTCAACTCAACAGTGAAACAAAAAGTCCATTCAATCCCGGAGGTGGGTACAGTAATAAAACAAGAAAATTTTCATCTAACCTAACCCTTCTAAGATAATTTCAGGAGGAGCTTCCAAAGCCAAATGGTGCTAAGAACTCTTTAGTGAAACATCTTTTGGCAGAATAGCTACCAAAAGAAAAAAAACAAAGAAGAGACTAAAAAGCCTTTGATTTTTGCTTCTGATACGAGGTTTATCTACAGCAATTCTCAAGGCAAATTTCTTCTCTGCCTTTATATTCTATGAAGCACACATGCAACTATATTTAAATATAATCAGTCCCAAACTTCCTTCCCCAAGTAACACAGAAACCTAACTGAACAAAAGCAAAATAATTATTTTAAATGCAGCAGCATTTAATGAGTTTATAGTCATAACTGTTGACTACTTTTCATGCTCTGCCTCTGATCTCAAACAGAAAATACCTACCTCTCCAACTCCTTTCTGGTCTCCTAATGTGATAAAGTTTTAATGCTTCATCTTCAATCCCTCTTTCTCAGTTGAAATATCAAGGTCTCATGAAAAAACTATTGTATGTGACTGTCCATGTCATTCTTTCAAAACAAAAATTTCTGAAGGGCAAAGGCTATCTTTTGAAGGAAGTTTATAAACCTCAGCACCCTCCAGGCAAAAACTTAATAATTAACCAGTCTTACAGAGAAATATTTCTAAAACTGAAAAGAGTATCAGTTCAAATTATTTTCATCAGTGTCAGTGACAAAGTATCTGATGGCACTGACCATCAAAAGCCTTAAGAAATACAGTACAAATATGATGTGGGTCATATTTTCAACTTTTATTGTAATCCACTCTTTTTCTGCAGGCTAATTTGTTTTCACGTCCTGAGCTTGATAACCTGCTTTACCACACAATTACACCAATTCCAGGAAACCTCACTTACTTCTTGGCTTCCACACTCCTCTTGTTCTTCTGCTGCCTGAAGTGTGTGGGTCCGGGGGCCTAGCAAATCACAAACATGGAAGTTACTACTATACGGAGAGGCAGCGCTGTGAAGGGGACAGAACGACAACCTCACAAGAGTAAGCCCTAACGTTATGTGCCTTCTCTAACACAGACAGGCTCGGTGATCCTGGGGAAGGAAGTCACTTAACCTTTCAGTGCCCCTAGACAACTCTTAAGACCAAGTTGTGGAACAGAGGTCCGGTGGCATTACTTGAAGGAGTTTTTCACACCAAGAGGTCCCTACACCAATAAACTCATATGCAACTTACTACCCAGCGACCTCGGAATAGAATATGCCCCCACGAAGAGAAAACCCTCTGCTCACAAAGGAAGCCACGCTTTCCGAGGAAAACGTCCACCTCGGCACACGAGGCTGGCTGGCATCGCGTCCCTCCAGCCTCTGGGAACGCAGCAGAGCGTCCTCCCCGTCCCGGCCCCGCGCTGGCCTGAAGCCCTGCTAGCTGTGCTAGACCCACCGTCTCTACGCCTGCCTCGGAACTAGAGTGTGGGGGCGGAAAGGAAGGCCGCCTCGGGGCTCTGTAGCGGGGCCGAGGGCAGTCGGAGGAGGAGGAGGAAGGGAGGATGTGGGGCGGCGCTACCCACGAAGAGGCTCCGGCCCGGGGACCAAGAACCTGGAGCGGCCGAAGCGCGCTATCTCCCCCCGGCCCTGACGGCCTGAGAAGCAGACGGGGAACTGGAATGTCAGTGGGAACGGGCCCGGGATCGCAGTGAAAAAATCAGGGGTTCAAGGCTCCGGAAAAGGGGCCCCCCAAACCAGTCTACTCACAGAAGCTACCGCAGAGCGTCCGGAAGGCATCGCCCCCTCCACCTTTACTTCAGAAACGTCATCACGCCGCGACCCAAAGGGGCTGAGAGGAAAGGGGGTAACGTCACGTCCGCTCCTCACCCGTCCGCTCGCGCCGGAATCCAGGGTGTCACGTGGTGATGTTCCGCTTTTCTTTCTGTATCATTCGTAAGGATTTTAACCTGTTTGTAGATATTACAAAGTGGCGGAAGGAAGAGTCTTTAGAGACCTTGAAGTGCAATCGCCTCCCCCGCCCACCCTTTGTTTTTTTTTTGCAGATTGGGAAACTGAGGATTAAAGAGAGAAATTGATTCTAGAGTGAGCAGTATAGTCAAGATTTGAATCTAAGTCCGCACTTGAGCTCAGGACCGAGGCTGGTGGCTGGTGATTGCTAGTTGTTCAGTCGTGCCCAACTCTTCGTGACCCCATTGGGGGTTTACTGGAGTGGTTTGCCATTTCCTTCTCCAGCTCATTTTACGGATGAGGAAACTGAGGCAAACAGGGTTAAGTGACTTGCCCAGCGTCACATAGGTAGTGTCAGAGGCTAAATCTATCCATTGCGCCAGCTCGCTGCCCTAGTGGTTGCTACATAGTCATACAGATTAACACATTCTGTATTTAGTTCTTTTATTGGAGAGAAGTTACAGACCCCCCCTGCAGATAATTTCCTTAGACACATGCTTAGGGATCATGCAAGTAGGGTGATGGAGTGCAGTGAAGGGAAAGCTAGTAGATTAGCATGGAGAAGAACAAAATGAGTACTTGGAGTAGATTCTTCTTCTGTAGCTCTCCTGAATCTTCTTTGCCTCAGGGCTGGGAACTGAGCCTGCTCTCAAATCCTGACATTCTGAGACACCTTACCTGTCCCACCACGCTGAGCATTTTGCTGTTGAATCTTCTGTTTTGACGCTGGTCCTCCTAGAATGCCTTTGTGCCTCTGGCTAGTTTGTTCAGTTTTGTCAGATTTTTTTATAGATCCATCGCAGCACTTTGGAACTGGGGATGTGGACCTGTGGGATGGTCTAGATTTGGGTGTGGAGTCAAGAAATGATCTAGATGGGTTAATCGTCTTATTCTTTGGAGCCCTATTAAGTGGTTTGAATGCTTCTGTTTCCTTGCCATCTCTCTCTGGCTTCCTTTCCATTTTAGTTGTATTCAGAGGCTTGACCCACTGCTTCCCCTCATTTTTGGAACCATGTTGTACATGAGATTGTTCAAGGAAAACTGAGCCTTGTTGCCTGGATGGCCTTGCCCTAGGAGCATGCATCTGTTGGAATGAAGGCTTTGGTGGATAAGCCATACCAAGCGCTCTCTTTATACTGAGGCAGAGCCATTGCATAAGTCCTGTGGACTTCTCAGAATGAGTGCTTGGAGGAGCTACTTCCTGGGCCTCCATAGTCCTTTCCTCTGGTTGTATCTTTCTATCCTTGGGGGTGCTCTTTCTCGGCACTCTTTCAATTTTCTGAGTTTTAGTTCTGTTCTCCTTGGGGGTCTTCACTTGTTCTAAGTCAAGGATCCGTTTAGCTTCACTGCTAGCCCAGCTATCTTTGATATCAGTGTCCAGTAAAGAATGTATTGTAAAGTCATATTGCTCAGGCTCTCCACTTTCTGCTTTTGCAACCTCTACTCGCCTGCCAGGTAAATTTCTTTTGATATGAACTTGAATAGGTTCAGGGTTTTGGGAACGCTCAGGATTTTGGAAAGGCTTAGGTCCTAAATCTGTATTAGGGCAGGGGCATAGAGTAAAATTTTTCTTTGTGACATGACAGGTACAGACTTTGTCCTTTCTCTTCTCTGATGGGTCAGACTGTGATGGTGCATGTCCCATTGACACCAAAGGCCCTACTTCTCTTTGCTGCTTTGGAGTTTGGGTTTGGCTTCGGGTTCTCAACCTAAAGCCAAGGTGAACCCGAAACTCCCCATGTCCCTCAGAGTTACGAAAAAGGCGGAGCTGTGGATAGATAACAAGCCAAGGCCCAACAGAGTCATGGAACTTGTGGGGGCAACTGGGGCCTGAACATCTGCCACACTGCAGACAGATAGGGTACTGTAGAACCATACCTGTAGTTTGGGATGGAGTGAAATGGGGAGACAGTTGATTCTTTAGGAGCTCTTCTGTTATTTTCAGCTGCAGGTCCTGTAGTAGCTGGGTCTGTTCATGGGAAGAAGTTATTGACAGAGGTATAGGCTGAGATTCAGAAGTTCTTATCTGTGAGCTGGCGTCTGGTGTTTCATTCTGCTCCACTGAAACAGGGTTCTGCTCAGTACTAGGTATCTTGTGGGAGGAAGGCAGTTGTGTACTTGTACTCAGAGGTAACTCACTTAACTCTGAGGGGACTTGTTCCCTTTCCTTCCTTTCCTCCATAGGTTCATGGCTGCCTTGGGCTTCTTTTGTGGTCAGGTTAGGAGAGTCCCGAGATGTACTGGGCCTAGAATCCTCTAGCTGTTTTTTGAAGGGCAAATTCTTCCTACAGAGTTGGCATAGGATATCAATAATCTTCCCTTGATAGCTCTGAGAAACCATTGTTTGTCTTGGTAGAACAAAATGCCCATTTGGGGCATATGGAGAGGGAATTGGAGGTGGTCTTTGGACATGGGCCTCCTGGATATCATGTGCTTGCCGCATCTTAGCCCCCAAGTTCTTCCTTAGCGTGGAAGTACTAGAGGATGATTTTCTCTTTGCCACTCTTCCCTTTGAAATTTGCTGCTCCTGAGCCTTCACTTGCCTGTTTGAAACAGACTGTTTTAGAGCTCTCGGGGTCCTTAATCTTTTTTGGGAGAAACTATTCTCTGATTTCGAAGGTGGGAGTGAAGGATCATGGAATAGGCACTGAAGACTCCGCTCCCATTGCTGTAAGGAATGTGAGGGCTGTACAGAAAGAGGCCTAGGAAGAGAGGAAGGTTGTGCCGTCTGGGAAAATTTGCTAGGCCTTCTTAAAATAAAGGGCTTTAGAATGACTATATTCTCATTCAAGTCTCCTAACATTGATCTCAGAATTTCCTGTGTGTTAGAGCCATGAAGGCCTTGTTTCAGCTTAGCGGCAATCCTACTAGAACCTAAAATGTATAGAGGTGTGGAGCCCTGGATGAGATAGAAAGACTCCCCAGTTGGTGACTGCAACTCTGGAGACAGTTGCTTAGGATCTGTGACTTGAAACTTAGGCTTTGAGGTCAATTCCACAGAGTCTACAACTTCAGTTTGTGGCAATGGGGTCAGCTCTAAAGAATCTATGACTTGAACATGTGGATTTAGGCTCAGCACCTTAGAATCTTTGAATTTAATCTGTGACCCCTGGGCCAGCCCCTTGGAATCTGTGAGTTTGACCTGTGACTCCTGGGCCAGCCCCTGGGAATTTGTGAGTTTGACCTGTGACCCAGGGATCAACCTCTTGGAATCTGTGAGTTTAACTTGTGACCCCTGGGCCAGCCTGTTGGAATCTGTGACTTTGACCTGTAACCCCTGGGCCAACCCCTTGGAATGTGTGAGTTTGACCTGTGACTCTGGGATCAGCCCCTTGGAATCTCTGAGTTTGATCTGTGACCCCTGGGCCAGCCCCTTGGAATCTGTAGGTTTGACCTGTGACCCCTGGGCTAGCCCCTTGGAATCTGTAAGTTTGACCTGTGACCCAGGGATCAGCCTCTTGGAATCTGTGAGTTTGACCTGTGACCCCAGGGCAAGCCCCTTGGAATCTGTGAGTTTGACCTGTGACCCCTGGGCCACCCCCTTGGAATTTGTGAGTTTGACCTGTGACCCTGGAATCAGCCCCTTGGAATCTGTGGGTTTGACCTGTGACTCTGGGATCAGCCCCTTGGAATCTCTGAGTTTGACCTGTGACCCCAGGACTACCCTCTTGGAATCTGTGAGTTTGACCTGTGACCCTGGAATCAGCCCCTTGGAATCTGTGGGTTTGACCTGTGACTCTGGGATCAGCCCCTTGGAATCTCTGAGTTTGACCTGTGACCCCAGGACCACACCCTTGGAATGTGTGAGTTTGACATGTGACTCTGGGATTAGCCCCTTAGGATCTGTGAGTTTGACCTGTGACTCCTGGGCCAGCCCCTTGGAATCTGTGAATTTGATCTGCGACCCCTGGGCCAGCCCCTTGGAGTCCGTGAGTTTGGCCTGTGACTCTGGGATCAGCCCCTTAGGATCTGTGAGTTTGACCTGTGACTTCTGGGCCAGCCCCTTGGAATCTGTGAATTTGATCTGCGACCCCTGGGCCAGCCCCTTGGAATGTGTGAGTTTGACCTGTGACTCTGGGATCAGCCCCTTAGGATCTGTGAGTTTGACCTGTGACCCAGGGATCAGCCCTTTGGAATCTGTGGATTTGACCTGTGACTCTGAGATCAGCCCCTTGGAATCTGTGAATTTGACCTGTGACCCCAGGGCATGCTCCTTGGCATCTGTGAGTTTGACCTGTGACTCTGGGATTAGCCCCTTGGAATCTGTGAGTTTGACCTGTGATCTCTGGGCCAACCCCTTGGAGTCTGTGAGTTTGACCTGTGACTCTGGGATCAGGTCCTTGGAATCTGTGAGTTTGACCTGTGACTCCTGGGCTAGCCCCTTGGAGTCTGTGAGTTTGACCTGTGACTCTGGGATCAGCTCCTTGGAATCTGTGAGTTTGACCTGTGACTCCTGGGCTAGCCCCTTGGAGTCTGAGAGTTTGACCTGTGACTCTAGGATTAGTCTCTTGGAATCTGTGACTTTGACCTGTGACCCCTGGGCCAGCCCCTTGGAATCTTTGACTTTGACCTGTGACCCCTGGGCCAGCCCCTTGGAATCTTTGACTTTGACCTGTGACCCCTGGGCCAACCCCTTGGAATCTCTGAGTTTGACCTGTGACCCCTGGGCCAGCCCCTTAGAATCTGTGATTTTGACCTGTGACCCTTGGGCTAGCCCCTTGGAATCTGTGACTTTGACCTGTGACTCTGGGATCAGCCCCTTGGAATCTCTGAGTTTGACCTGCAACTCTTGGGCCAGCCCCTTGGAGTCTGTGAGTTTGACCTGTGACCTCTGGGTCAGCCCCTTGGAATCTGTGAGTTTGAGCTGTGACTCTGGGATCAGCCCCTTAGAATCTATGACTTTGACCTGTGACCCCTGGGCCAGCCCCTTGGAATCTCTGAGTTTGACCTGTGACTCTGGGATCAGCCCCTTGGAATCTGTGAGTTTGACCTGTGACTCTGGGATCAGCCCTTTGGAACCTGTGAGTTTGACCTGTGATCCCTTGGCCAGCCCCTTGGAATTTGTGAGTTTGACCTGTGTGTCTGGGATCAGCCCCTTGGAATCTATAACTTTGACCTGTGACCCCTGGGCCAGCCCCTTGGAATCTGTGAGTTTTACCTGTGACCCTGAGATCACCTCCTTGGAATCTGTGAATTTGACCTGTGACCCTTGGGCTAGCCCCTTGGAATCTGTGAGTTTGAACTGTAACCCTGGAATCAGCTGCTTAGAATCTGTCAGTTTGACCTCTGACCCTGGGATCAGCCCCTTGGAATCTGTGAGTTTGACTTTTGTCCCTGGGATCAGCCCTTTGGAATCTGTGAATTTGAACTGTGACCCTGGGATCAGCCCCTTGGAATCTGTGAGTTTGACCTGTGACTCTGGGATCATCTCCTTGGAATCAGTGAGTTTGACCTGTGACCCTGGGATCATTTCCTTGGAATCTGTGGATTTGAACTGTGACCCTGGGATCAGCCCCTTGGAATCTGTGAGTTTGACCTGTGACCCTGGGATTAGGCCCTTGAAATCTGTGAGTTTGACCTGTGACCCTGAGGTCAGCTCCTTAGAATCTGTGAGTTTGACCTGTGATCTTGGGGTCAGCCCCTTGAAATCTGTTCGTTTGACCTGTGACCCTGAGGTCAGCTCCTTGGAGTCTGAGAGTTTGACCTGTGATCTTGGTATTAGCCCCTTGGAATCTGTTGGTTTGACCTGTGACCCTAGGATCAGCCCTCCAGAATCCACATTTTTAATCTGTCGCCCTGGGGTTGGCCCCATGGAATCCGTATCTTGAACTGGTGATCCTAGATTCAGCTCCACGAAATGTGCATCATATTTCACTGGCGCAGGAGTTGTTGCTACAGAATCCATATCTTGAACCTTTGAACTTGAACCTTTGAGCTCCAAAGAATCTACATCTTGCTTCTGTGGCACTGGAGTTAGCTCCATCTCATCAGTATCTTGAATCTGTGGCTTTTGAACCTGTGGCCCTGAGTTCAGCCCCAAAGAATCTGTAGTTTGACCATGTGACTCTGGAGTCAATCCTTTAGAATCTTTGACTTGAACCTGGGGCGTTGGGCTCAATGGCTCAGATCCCACAGTTTGAGGCAATCTCATAGTGCCTACCCCAGTGCTCAATTCTTCATTCTTCTTTGGGGCCTCCTTTTGTTGCCCTATGGCCTTCTTTAGAAGACCATTGACTTTCTTCTTAATACAAAGTTCCAACCTCTTTTTCACATCCTCTTTCAGAAAGGTGGTTTCCCTTAGGATGACATCCACTCCTGAGGAAAAGGCATTCTGTGTAACAAATGGGGGTCTTAGCTGGAGCTGGCTGTCTGCTTGCGATGATTTTGGAGTTGTTGGTCTTATCTGGTCAATTTCCAAATCCATGGAAAGTAGACAACATGAAACATATGGAGATTTTTTGTTGGTATCCTTTACAGTGTTTTGAGGTTTATGGCCTTCATTCTGCACTTTAATGACATGGTTCAGCATTGCCCATGACTGCTTCACAGCTGTGGGTACCCTCCGGGCCCTCAGTGTACACACTTTCCAGGCCATGTGCCCCTCTAGCACCCACCGGGCTGAATGTGAAAGTTGAATTGGAGCCCAGCATGGGAGCCGGGGTCTCTCACAAAGATTTGTAGGTGGAGGACGATTTGAATCTTTAAGAACTCTATTTCCTTCCCTCTTTTTTGTTGTCTTCTTCTTTCGGATAGGAGTATAGGCCAAAGGATATGGACTTACAGAAAGCTTTATGGTTCTGAAAATTGGAGGACGTGTCAAACGTTGGGCAATCTTTCTCCTTATGTGGATCTCCAAGGAATTCCTGATCTCTTTGGGGACCCAGCTGTCATTCTCTTCCTTCGATGCTTTGGTCTCATAGAGCCTTTGAATGAAGTTACAGGTACAGTTTTCCAAAAAGATATTCTTCCCTGTGTTATCTTTTTTAGCTTGAGGAAGCAGGAAAGGAGGCAGAGAGAGCACCCGTGCTTGTCCAGAATAATTTTTGGAGGGATTAGGTAGACTATGGCTCTGGTGTCGTAGGTTCTCTCTAAAAATATAGGCAAGGGATTGAGTTGCACTGAGATTGGTGTGAAGTGAAGAAGTTCTCTGGACTCTAGAAAACCCTGGGCTGTGGCACTGATAGCATGTCAGGGTTTGTAAGTCCTCAGGCCCAGTAGTAGAAGAGCTGGAGGAAGAAGTTGAGGTCTCTTGTGAAGACGAGGACAAGTTCATGAGGCTGGATCTGAGAGGGAGAGAGAGAGACAGATAGTTATCTGCTGTGGAGTAGAAAAGGGAAAGGTTGGGATGGACATTACACAGAGTCCTTTCTTTCTAGTTGTAGAAAGCGAAAGGAAGACTGCCCTTCCTACATTTCAATTATCTATGAGGCTCATTCCTCTCCCAAGAAATGAAAGACTGCTTTTCTTATCCACTCAGGGAGATGACAACCATGGTAGTTCCTATGCTTCCTTTGATGAGAACACTGACAAGGATCTGGTAATTCCATGTGCTCTTTAACATCCCCTCCCCCAACCCTATAGGTATTTACCCCAGGTTTGTAGTGCCTAACCTTGCTATGTCCAGGCACTGGTAAATATGCTGGAGGTTCTTATCCATTGACCGGAGAGTATAATTTTGGGCCCAGCCCACAGGGAGCCCTGAAAAACTGGATGAAATGGGGTACCAGTTAGTAAAACTGAAAGGATAAAAATGGTGGCAACTAGTATCAATACTGTAACTTAATGGGGAGGGTAGGAAGCCTTTCCTCACCGGGCCAGGTCAGCTCCTGTACATCCCATCTGAAGATTGTCCTCCCAACGTGGAGATGGAACTAGAAATAATGGAGGACAATGTTCATAAGAGGCCAGGTACCTTTAGAATTTCAAACTTTTAAGCTCTGAGAAACTTGAAAGCTCATGTAATCCAACACCGTTTCAGAGATTATAATAATAGATGGCATTTATATAGAGCTTTAAAGTTTGTAAAGCACTTTATGTGCAGGGTGTCTCAAAAGTCTTAGTTCAGCTTTAAGTTACTAAAGCTTAAAATTACACTAAGATTTTTGGGACACCCTGTATATAATTTCATTTGATCCTTGTAGCAACCCTGTGAGATAGATATTGCATGTATTATCATCCCCGTTTTACAACTAAGGACACTAACACTCAAAGGTTAAGTGATTTATTCAAGGTCACATAGCTACTTAGTAAGAAGAGCTAGGAATAGAACCCAGGTAGACAGTGTTACTCTCCCATTTATGAAGTTTCAGTGCTCCCTGTTACTTCTAAGATAAAGGCATTTAAAGTGTTTGACAATCTAACTCCAGCCTGTCTTTCCAAACTGATTTCACATGATTCCTCTCAAATATTCTACATCAGCGGTATCAAACTCATAGAAAGAGGGGCTATTAAACTGCCATAGCTAAGGATCCCTGCAGGCTGCATATTGATTCATTTTTAAAATGTAATGTTATCTATAATTTATTATATTTTTATTTATTTTGTTAAATATTTCCCAATTACATTTTAGTCTGGGTTGGGCTGCTTGCATCCAGTGGGCCCCATGTTTGACACCTCTGCTCTGCATAACAGTCAAACTGGCCCTCTTGCCATGCTGCAAGTATCCCACCTTCTGCCTTCCTGCCCCTGTGATGACTTAGCCCTTAGACCTAGATCCATGCTGAGAATGCTATCTTCTTCCTAGCTTCCTTCATGGCTCAGATCAAATGCTCTAATTCTCTAAGAGGCCTTTTCTAACTCACCCAATCATTAGTGCCCATGCCCGACCCCCAAATTACTTTGTATTTATTCTACATCATAACTGTGTACATATTGTATGCCAGTAATGTACCTAGTAGAGAGCATGACAGAGTAGGCATAAGCAGGCATAAATCATTATTGATTTGAACTGGTTCCAGTCAAGTACTGTTTCCCATTGCCTCCTTTTTCCCTTAATAACACAGTGAAAAGGAGCCATCATGAGTTGGAAGGAAATTCCCCAACACACACACACACACCCTCAGTTACTGCCTAAGCCATAAGAGATGAGAGTAAGGGCTTGAAGTGGGGAGAAAAGGGAAAATGTAATGGTTTTCTTCTTTTCCCACTTAATTACTTTGGTCTTTAAGTGGAAAAGAGAGGGGAAGAAAGTGGAAAGAATGAAGAAGCTGTTTGCACTCACTCAGATGGAGGGATATTTTCATTTGGCTATAAAAGTAAAGCTACCAAAAGCATAGAATTGATGCTTCCTTCCCCTCTTAACCTGCTACCACAATTACTATCCCCTTCCAGCTTCTCCTCACCCATTTCCCCACCCCTGAGGTCCCCAATGAATTTAGCTGTCATTCAATGTCCAGCTCTTCCAGATGAGATAGTAAGGATCTAGGTACCTTTTCTGAGTTTTTGGTTCCCTGGTACTTTTTGCTGCCTTGAAGTCTGGAAGAATACAAAAAGACAGAGTCACATCAGTGGGTACTCCAAAGAGAGGGTGAGAGACCCTAGCCCCAGTATATCATATCTTAAGTTGAGAAAGACTGAAAGGTAAACAGAGAAAGAAATAGAAGAGTCCCAGAGAGTCAAAGAGCTAGAGCAAGTCTTCTACCCATAAGATACCCTCCTTCCCCATACTTTTGCCCTGGCCCAGGGAGGGAGCAGGTTTTGTAATTCCACGTACCTCATTGATCTTGGCTGGCAACAGCTCCCACCTTTGATCCCCAGGTAGCAATGACCAGACTCCAATGACAAGAAGACCAAGTAATAGAAAAAGGCTGAAAGGTGGTGGCAGGGGCGGGCCAGGCCCCAGGATCAGCTCCATCACCCCACCACCCCATGCCTCCTTTCAGTCAAAGATCCACAGCTTGCAATGTAGTGACCTCACATGACATCATAATGAGTATTCCAATTTGGAGTAGAATGCAAACTTGGTTCTTGCCTTTCCGCTATTTGTTAACTCTCAGGTCATCAGCTACTGTCTCCCCTACAATGACCAAAATGCTTGCCAAAGGCCAGGAAAATACAGGCATTCTTAGTCTTATTGCCAGTCTTCCTCGAAGCAGGCTGGGCAATTAATAGAACAAAGTGTCAGGGGACAATATTTCAAAAAAGCAGTACTTCTGAATACTATATAATTCTAATGACCAGTCTCTTCCTGAAGAAGAAATGGGGAAAAGCACTCCCCTCCTTTCATTAGATAGATGGGGAACTGTAAGTATGGAATGATACAGCCTAGATCACTGTGTCAGTTTTAAAGAACTTTTTCTTTGTTACATGAGAAGATTCACTGGGGGAAGTGAGAGGGTATATTTGGAAATGATTATGAGGCAAAATAAAAGACATCAACAAAACTTTTTTTAAACCCACATTAAAAAAAAATTTTTTTAAAGCAGAACTGTAGAATGTCCCTGTAGCTTTTTAAGTCAACTTTGGGAAAAGTTCCTTCTGAGCAGCAATCCCAGACGAGGGATATTTCCTGAGAGAATATCTATAGGATTTGGACATTGTTGATTTCGTCCACTTCAAACGGTACATAACCTCAAAATTCTCCGGTAATAACTGTTCCAAACCTTTTCCTTACTCCTCTTGCTACTAAATGCATTATAGTTGAAAACAGCTGGACTTGGACTCAGGAGAGGCCTCATTTCAAATTCTTATTCGTGGTGTGACCACCATTGGGGTCTGGCTATTGTTGCTTGGAGATTCAAAGCAGTAGCTATTATCAGCAGTGATTTGACAAAGAGCCAATCATTCGCCTCTGTGAGGTACAGCTTCCTTACCGGTGAAAAGGAACAATATGTACATGAGTACCCACTTCACAAGGTTGTTTTGCACATCAAATGAGATATAATGTCTATCAAGTGCTTTCAAGTCTCTAATGCAACAAATGCTCATTAAGCACATACTACGTGAAAGATATCACATACAATACTAGGAATATAAGGACAAAAAAAACCACACACAATTTTTCCTCTCGAGGAGCTTACATTCTACTTAAAGTGCCAAATAAATGTCAGCATTATCTCCCATACTTAAAACAAATGTTCTAGCCTCCTATTTCACTAAGGTTGAAGCCATCCAATATAAACTCCCTCAGTTCCTTTTTCCATTCCCCAGTTCTGAGGATCATTAACCCACTGTCTTCTAGTTCCCTCTGGTCACTCCATCAAATTTCTGCTTCAGACATCTTGTTAGGAATTTAAAACTCTCCCTGTCTCAAGTTCGACCATAGATCTAGGGATAATGGAAATATGACTCCAAATTATTGGAGAATTATAGGAAATTCACTGGCTATACACCGGCTTATTCTGGAAAATTTCCTAACAGTCCAGTCCTCTGTATTTATATGATATAGGCAATATGCTTTTCTGTGATCATCTGGTGTATTGAATTTAGGCAAGAGAAACTGTTAAGTATTCTATTTTCAGGAAGTAGTTTGCTCAACTTCCTCTTGCATATTCTTTTGCTTTTTTGGTTTACCTGAGAGACAGTCCCAAAGTTTCTTCTCTAAAAAGGTATCTCCCATTCATATTCGTTCATCTGTCTTAGAGAGAAAAGAAGAAGAGAGAGAGAATATGAGAATGTGTGTAGGGTCCCATCTATGGATTTCAACGTTTAAACAGATCGGTTCCCTGGTAGTAGGTCATCCCTTCTCCATGTTTCATTGTGGTTGACAGACTCTGGTATTTTCTATCTGGCCCTGTCTCCTACTCTTCCTTAGCTTCTGCAATGCTGACCTTGGCATAAGTCCTAATCACTTCATACCTTAGCCACTGCCTCCATAGTGAACTTTTTTGCTTTGGAGTGAAACAAGTTGTAAATCTTGAGGTACTATTAAATGCTATCATCATCATCATCATCATCATCATCATCATCATCATCATCATCATCATCATCATCACATTTATGACTGCATGTAGGCCAGGGTGTGGGATAATGGCAAATTGCCCTTCCCTTCTTCCTTCTTGGGAAATAGCTAGAAACAGTCCTGATTGTTCACAAATAGGAAGAGAGATTGAGAGGGAACAGTATTTCCTAGTATTGTATTCTCAAGTATTGAATTGCCAGTCCAGTGTTGTTCGTAACCAGTTACTGGCAATATGGGAGCTGAACCTTCTAAGCTCACTGTTGTCTGCCCATTGTTTCTCTCTGCTCCCTGTACTGCATAAACTGGAATGGGACCCCCAGGAGTCTCTGGAGGGCAAAATCAGCAGGCAGAAGCAAATCAAGGAGGTAGGACCAACCAGTGCATGCCCAATCAGTGCATGCCCTGATTCAAAAATCTTGCCACCCTCTTATATCCTCTTCCTGCTTTCCTTCTCCTTCAAGTGCTTTCTAAATCCTCTGCAAAGGAAAGAAAGTTGCAAGCTTCCTGGTAAGAAAGAAAAGAAAATATGGCACCCAGTGAAAAATCTCCACTCTCCTTACCTTTATCTATAAAGGGTCACCACTCTTGGACCCGGAATGATGGTGCAGAATAGACCTGCTATGAGGACTGTAACATGGGCATCAATTATAATAGGAAATCTCTTTGTAGCAAGGTTCAGTTGGCTTGCAGGGGCATTCCCATGGAGCGTGCTTAAAGTTACTGTTTCTGGTTGCAGTCAGCCAATAGGAACTTTGCGGTCTTCTCTCAGCCACATAACGGCTCAGGGTTAAAAGACCCTTCACTTGCAAATGAAGAGTCTCCTTATTGACTATAACCAGAGGAGCTGATGACTCAGTGGATGTGCAAAAGAAAGGGGACTGTTCCCTCTTAATCTCTCTTCCTTTCTGTCTGAGAACAATCAGGACTGTTTCTAGTTACTTCCTAAGAGGGAAGAGGGGAAGGGCAGTTTGCCATTATCCCACACCCTGGCCTACATGTATCCATAAACGTGATGATGATGATGATTAGCATTTAACAGCACTTTAAGATGTAAGATTTACAACTTGTTTTACAAATTGTACCTCGTTTGTTCCTCACAACAATCCTGGAAGATAGTTGCTGTATTTGTTGCTGTTCTGTTGTGTTCAACTCTTTATGATGGTATTTGGAGTTTTCTTGGCAAAGATACTGGAGTGATTTGCCATTTCCTTCTTCAGCTCATTTTACAGATGAGGATACTGAGGCAAATGGGGTAAGTGACTTTCCCAGGATCACACAGCTAGTAAGTGCCTTGAGCAGGATTTGAATTCAAGTCTTCCCGACTTCAGGCCCAGAGCTCTATCCAAAAGTACATATCTTGCCTGGGCAAGCCAGAGCCTGAGTTTGGGTTACCTCTTTTGTGCGTATTCTTTCTGGGTCTCAGACATTCTACTTGTAAGAAGTTTTTATTGACCTCAAGCCTAAATTGGTCTCTTTGCAATCTCCACTCATTATTCCTGCTTCTGCCCCCACCCCAAGTCCCTATTTTCTAGGCTAAGCATCTCTTGTTCCTTCCACCAATCCTCATATGTCCTGGACTCAAGATCCTTCACTATCCTGGTTGCCTTCCTCTTGTCACTCTCCAGCTTATCAATGCCTTTATTAATACATGGTGCCCAGAACTGAACATAATACTCCAAATGAAAGCTGATGAGGCAGAGTACAGTGCAACTATCACCCTCCTCTTCCGGAAATCTATGTCTCACTTAATTCAGCTGAAGAATGCGTTTGCTTTTTTGGTCCTGTATCTATTCTGTACATTACTAGTTGTTTGCGTGTTCTCTCCACCACTAGAATGTGAGCTTCTTGAGGGCAGAGACTGTTTTTGCCTTTCTTTGTATCCCCAACATTTAGCATAGTGACTGGCATAAAGTAACTACTTAATAAATGCTTCTTGGCTTTACCTGGCTGCCACATCACAATGCTAATTCTTACTGAACTACAGTAGTCCTCTAAGACCCCAAGGTCTTTTCTACACAGCTTCTGTCTATGCATACTTTTCCCATCTTGCACTGGTGAAGCTGATTTTTTAATATTCCAGTGCAAGACTTAACAGCAGTCCCTACTGAATTTCACCTTACTGGATTCAGACCAGTGCTCTAGCTTTCAAAGATCCTTTTTGGGTCCTGATTCTGTCATCCACTATGCTAAGAGCATCTTTAAGAGTCAGGATTAGGCCAGAGGTTCTTAACCTTCTTTTGTGTCATGAATTCCTTTGGCAGTCTAGCAAAGCTATGGACCTCTTCTTAGAATCATTTTTAAAAATATAATTCAAGTAATTTATTTAGAGGTTGATGAAAATAAAGATGTAATTTTTTCCTCATCCAAGTTCAAGTACCCCCTAAAATCTATCCATAGACCCCCTGGGGGTCCCTAGATTAAGTACCTTTGGGATAGGGCATATTCTCTATCACATGGTAAGGCAACTTCCCCCCACTTTTCTACTGTATACTTTCCCACTGTGATACTGAGGAGAGAATGCCTAATAATACTCTGCCAAAAAAAAATAAAAGCCTCTAAGAGTGACTGTCTCCTTTGTGAAAGTGAAATTATGAATTGCCAGGAATGGTGGGACCACAGCTGCTATGAGTTTTAATAACATATCTTTTAAATTCCCATTTCACATAGTAAAAGTAGTCTATGACACAAGTATGTTTTCCTTTGAGTTACATAAAGTTGGGAAGGAAATAAAAATTTTACTGTGATATCAGGGCATGGGCCAATTTTGATAAATTTATGAAATTTATATGCAAATGATTTTACATTTTAAATCCTAGATTGAACCAAGAGGTATTTATTTGAGCAGGTGCTCAGAGGAAATTGAGAAGAGGTGGCCTTCCCAGTGCATACAAAGTTCTGCATCCCTGACCACGAGGTCTAAACTAAGCTTTTGTACATATCTTGTGTGTGCATAGCTGTTCACTTGTTTCCTCCATTAGAATGTGAAATCTTGAAGGCAGGGACCATGTTTTTGCCTTTCTTTGTATCTCTGTCACTTAGCACAGTAACTAACTGCCTACATCTGGGTATGGCACCAAAAGAAATTATACTCTAAATAACTATTCTAGACTATGTCCTGGTACTTGTATATTGCTCACCTATCTTTCCTCCCCTAATACTGACATACAGTGTAGGTGTATCGGTACAGAGGAAAATTTACTGTAACAGTATAAGCAAATCCCCTTACCCATGGCATATACCTGCCTTCTCATATAAGAAGCACATTTGAAACATATAGAAAATTAGTCCATTAATCAACAAGTATTAAGCACTTACTGTGTGCCAGGTACTGTACTAAGTTCTGGGGACATATAACAAAAGTCCCCTGAGGATCTTTCATTCTAATGGAGGAGACAGTAAAGAAATAATTATGTACAAAGTACATATAGAAAAGAGACTTTATCAGTTGGGAGGACCAAAAAAAAGCCTGCAGAAGCTGTCATTTGAGCTGATTCTTGAAAGAAATGAGAGATTCCAAGAGACAGAGGTTTGAAGGAGAATATTCCGAGGATAGGGGATAAGTTAGTTCAAAGGTGTGGAGACAAGAGATGGAGAGTCATGCTCAAGAAACAGCGGGCAGGACATTATAGCTGGATCATACAATGCGTGGATCAAAGTAAAGTAAATATAAGAAGACAGAATATGTAGGAAGGGATCAAGGTGTGAAGAGCTTTAAATGCTAAACAAAGGATGTTATATTTGATCCTGGGGGTAATAAGAAGCCACTGGAATTTATTTCATAGGATAGGTGACATAATCAGAACTACTTTAGGAGTGAAAACGAATTGTAACAAAATTTGTTATCCTTCAAGCAGTTAAAAAAAAAAGCCAGAGTTGTAATCATGATTTCACATAAGACAATGATAAAAATTAATGAAATCAAAAGGGATATATAGGGAAACTACATTATATTTAAAGATACCATAGATAATGAAACTATATTATTATTAAATGTACATGCACCAAATGGCATAGCATTTAAGTTTTTAAAGGGAAAGTTAAACAAGTTGCAAATAAGTTATTGATAATAACACTGTAATCATAGGAGATAATATATTCCTCTTTCTGTGCTGGATAAATTCTATAGCCCCTTTCATAGGGAAAAATTAGTTTTGAAGGATTTATGACTATTTCTGAATGGGACCATTAAGAAACATATATATATATATATACACACACACACACACATATATATGCATATGTGTGTGTGTGTATCTCAACAGTACCAACCTTAGACCCAGGGAAGCCAGCCTCTGTCCCAGGTCCAGAGCCTCAAAGGGCCCCAAGCTTTGGAGGACAGCAGCAGCAGCTTCTAAGGGTCCCAATGACTTGGACCTTCAGTCACGCAAAGACACACCCAACATGAGACAAAGACATCACTATCAACCCCTTATTTTAGAGTTGTTTGTTCCCTTGACCTTAGCCTGGAGCCCAGTGCTCTCAATGCCTATCAGGTGGCTGAGAGAAAAGGATCCTAGACACGCTGGTCACTCTGGGGCTTTTGGTTTGTACTCTGGAGGATGGCTACACTATCTACCTACAGGGTTCTCACTGGCTTCCACCACCTTTACTGGGCCCTAGGAAAGCTCCCAGTAGGGTCAGGGTCAGGGTCTCCTGGCTGCATCAAGACCACTTGAGATTGGGGAAGGGGACAAAAGGAACATGGGGAGAGGGAATGCAGCTTCTGAGCACCGCCCGCTGGCTGCCACAAACCTTGACAGCCAGGCCGAGCCTGCTGGAGAGCTGACCACCTGCCGACACCAAACGTGGCTGACACCAAACCGGGAGACTTTCCTACCTATTGAAAGTATCTGAGATCATGCAGCAGCCACTCATACTACCTACTACTTTGCTCAGACTGACCTGGGCCCCCTTAAAGAGCTCAAAACCGAGCCAGTTAGTGTGGAGACCTAAT